TTATAATGTATCGATCGTTCCTCCAAGTGTCCTTGAAATGGAACGTTCGCGAAATGTCCGGAAACTCCCACAATAAATTCCCCCCCGCCGTGATTCCGTTATCTTGAAATGTACTTTAAATTGAAAAGACGCGTTCTCGTCGCGATTAGCATTTTCGTGATTTAATTGCACGCTCGACGCTTGTCGATACGATTTTACACCATGGCCATTCGATATTCGAATCGGTCCACGAGCACTTGTTACTTCATAGACTCCAACGACTCCCGAGTTATTATTATTAATTTAACAAGGAAAACGAAATGGAACGAGCGATCAACAATTGTGCTCGATGATTTTTCAATCGATTCAAATTTATCGTTGAAAAATAAAATAGACTTTTTCGACGAAGAATTCGAACAATGAATCCCCCTTTTTATTTCGCCTGACTCCCTTTCTTTCTCTCTCTCTCTCTCTTCTTTTTTTTGTCTGTTTGGCTTGCCAATTCCTGCAGGTCAGGTCCTTCCGGTCCTCGTAGCGTCTACACCTGGACGAATCCCAAAAGTTTCCGCTCCTTTGGAGTCAACCTTCAAGATTTTTTTAACAAAGGGTCCATCGCTCTCATTCGCTCGTTTCTTCAATCATGCGCGAATCTCGCCACCTTGAATATTATCTCTGATATTTACAGTCAGTCTACTACTATTTTTTTTAATTGCATATACACGAAAATATATATACTTGAACCATTGATAATCGAGTTAATAGTTATAATAATAATAATAATAATAATAATAATTCGATATTATTCAACGAACATAACCTTAATTTATTTGACGATAGATGTTTCGAGTTTTATATGATAATACAATATTTTTATTATTTGATAATAATAAGAATTCGATCTAAATACTTCATTCAACGAACATAATCATTTAATCATTTATAGATGTTCAAGTTTTACGTAACAATAATAATATCGTATCTAAATACTTTGTCGATAGATAGTTCAAGTTTTATATAAATAGCAGATAAATATATTTAGATTTAGATTTTCACGTGTAAAATGTTCATCGAAAGAAAGAGACAAGTCTTGTCTAATCGTGGAATCGTTTTCCAGATGGAAACCGAGGTGCGGACGCTCAAGCAAGAGCTGGTTCGTACCCGAGAGGCCTTGAGGGCGGCCACAAGAAATGCTGTGATCTGGTGAGAGAGCTGGACAATCGCACGACGAGCCACGAGTCCGAGAGGAGTCTTCGAGATCAACAGTTGTCGCGTATACTTCGTGCCCTGCTGGTGCTCGAGGCTCGGCTCAAGCAAGAGCAGAAATCGATCAGGCAGTTGCTCTGCGAGAAGGACAACGTGATCAGGAATCAGCAGCTCGAGATCGCTAGGCTCAGGCGTTACACCAAGAATTATATCAAATGTAAACGCGAGCAGACACTTGGCAGATCGTCGATCAAAGTCGTGGAAAATTCGGCCACCGATATCGAGAACAACGATCTTCAAACGTCCAACGTCGATGTAAGCTTTCAATCGATCGTTTTCTCTTCTCCTTCCATGTTAAATTGTATCGATAATTGTATTGACACTCGTTTTACATTATCTCCTCGTCGCATCTGTCTTTTCGCATCGATCTTCGTGAAACGAGGTAACCTTAACCTTAACCATAACCTTATTTATACCGTTTCTTTCTTTCCGTTTTAGGTTAACTCGAGGCAGGACTGCGGTATTGGCAAAGACATACAGAATTTGAAATGCGAGATAATCACGAAACTGAATCCGTTAGAAGTACCTGTTGCGCTCGACGACCTGGACAGGGGGGTGAAGAAAACGCACAGCTTCGCCGGCAGCGACATCTCGAAAACAAGTCTGACGAGCAGCGAGAATACGGATGTGTCGATTATCACGACCACCACGGAGGGCAGTCCCTCGTTGCTCAGTACAGAAGGTTTTTGCGAGGGTGAGAGCACCGATGTCTCGCCAAGCTCCACGTTGAATAAATCCAACAGGTGTACGCCTACGATGGTCACCGACAGCGAGAACGAGACGACGATGATCTACGACGACGAGGACGAGGACGAGGACGAGGAAGAGAGGACGATGATCGTGGAGAACGGTTGTAAATTGTCGAGGAAAAAGATGGGGATCGGCAGGTCGAGGACGCAGAAAGCGTTGAAGGAAATGGATGTGATCGAGTCGACGAATATAGCGAGGACGGAGAGCAAGGACGATGGGATGGATTGTAATTTTGCCTCGGGAGATGATGAGGAGAAGGAACAGGAACCTATTTATGTAAATTCTTTCAACGAGACAAATTCGAGGAAGCACGCGGAAAATGTAATCGCGCCGAAGATGAACGAGGATTATAGTAATAACAACAGCAATAATGCCGGGAGCAATAATAATAGTATGTAAGTATTTGTTTTTTTGAAAAAAGAAAAAGAAAAGTATATAAAAGGATATAAAATGCACAACGTTCGTTATTCACTGTATATTGTGTTGTAATATTAATTATTTGTTAAAGAATTGATATTCATAATTATATTTGATTTGCACAGATGTCTAAAAATGGAAATCGAGGAGCATAACGTAGAAGATACCAGCGGGAACTGGTATAGCGATCCTGACGAAGACAAAATGAACGATGATGTTTTCAGACATAGCATGTATCGACCGAATAGCAATCATAATTCCGTTTTGGAATGCGTTAATCAGATCCTTCTGCGAGATATGGAGGACGAGGAAAACATTCTTTCAATGTCCAGAAGATTTAAACATCGAGGAAGAATTGTACGGTTTCAACCGGCTAAATTGTCGGACATCGAGTCGGTAGGATCTGAAATGGAAAGGAAAAACTCGGAAGAAGGTATTATAGAAAAGGAATCGGCTGATAGCGAGTTCACCGATGTCCCTGCCAACAGTTTCGAGCCTAGTGCTACGGAAGACGAGTTTGGCATGAGTCTTACTCAAAGTGTTTCGACTTCAAACGTTACGACTACAATCACGAATCACGAGTCGAGTCTCGAGGAAGAGTCGGAAGAAGCGAAAGCTATTCCAATTGTTATTATAGAGCCAAAGATCAAGATGGAAGAAACGAGACACGCAGCTTTCCAATCCTCGCAAGTGTCGCAAAAGATTAAAACATCTGTAAATACCTCGAGTCCACCTTTGAAATTGGAACGAATCGAGGAGAAGACTTGTTTACAGATGTCTACAAAGGGACTGACTATAGCAAAAAATTTAGATTATGAGGATATCGAGTCGCTTCCGGAAATTATATCACCACCTCCTAAAACACCACCTGCCTTGCCTCCAAAACCACAGTTTAAAAATAACACGTTGATCTTAAAGAAAATTCCTAGTCCTTCGTTTCTGATCGACGAGACACGAAAAAAACAGCAACTTCTCGAGTCCGGTTCATCTGAACACAGCAAGAAGATATTTGGTTTTATATCCTCTCCTTTAAAGTCTACAGGGATTAATGTATCGTCTTCTGCGAGAAGTTTAAATTTCGATGACACGATTAATAAAAGTACAGGGAACAACGAAGAAGGGAATTTCTGGAAGAACAGATTCAACAATGTTCGATCTTCCTTTCAAACGCGTCAGAACCACGAAATTAGTGGAGAACAAATGCGAAAAATACCCAGAGTCACCAACATTGTTCGTCATTTTGAAGAATTCAAAATTGGCGGTGAATCGGAAGATCAAGCGAAAGAACGCACGAAAACGAAGGAAAAACACGTCCATTCAGAATTCGATCAAGAATTTGATATCAGACAAAATTTTGAGGAATTTAATTTGGACGAATGTGACCTATCGGATGATCCAGATAGACCGGAAGGCGATGGATCGGAAAGGCTTGGCAATCTTGGGGTAACGATTAGTCAGAATGAGAAAACTGTTGCAACCAAAGACAATAATAATGTTCCTCTCGCTGCGAGCAATTCGAATAGCGGTTACGATCACTTTCTAGAAGCAACAGGTCTTAGCAACAAATCCATACTTACTCCCTCAAGGTTATTGAGTAACCATAAAAGCATGCTAAAGCCGAAAGATGTAAAGTATAAGAACAAAATCAAAGCAACAGCGGTTATGGAAAAACATGGTGTTTCCACAACGAACAATACTACTCATGTTAGACATTGGACAGGCCCATTTGTTTGACGATTGGCACAAGTTTTTCCAAAAAATTTGTTCCGAACTGAAGAAACTTGATCCTTGATAAAAGAAAATAAATTGGACAAATATGATTTATATTAGCGAAAGTTGAAAGAAACCGTGGTTTAAACAAAATTCTTCTTTGTATATGAAATATATAATTTCGTGTAAATTATTATTATATTATTATTATATTATTATTCTCTTTTTAATACTTTATCAGATTTTTTGTTATTAAAGAAATTGAAAGATACGAGAATTAATTTATTTAATTAAATTTGGAAAATATTTTTATGTATTGTACATTTTAATAAAATATGTCCTACTTATTTAAAATATTAATGCAATTGACAAAGTAATTAATTGAATGATAATTGACAATATTATATATACATTAATATTTAGTTTTTTCGCTGTAAATTGCAATTAGTACTTTATTACTTACTACGGAAATGTTTTTATAAAAACGTTCTTATTTTATTTTCTACTGAAAATCGTGAATAAAAAATTGAAAATGTTAAATAAATAATAATATTATTATATTATATGAAATGAAACAAATAGAAAAAAATTCATAATAATAAAATATGATTATATAAATTTAAATTACTATGTTTTTACTTTAACCCGTAAAATTACGCCTATGTTTTATAACATTATATATAAATTTACAAAATTTTAAATATTTCAATTGATCGTTATTTAAATTTTGCGATATTTAAGAATATCGTATATATGTAATTATTGGTTAATTATTCATTGATTAAATAGTATAAAAGCAAATCATATGTATTCTGTTAAGACATTAAATATACACAATCAGATAAAAATCAGTTCGAGGATAAAAATAAAAAATGTACTTGTTTTTTTGTCGGAAATAAAATTAAAAATAACTTTATTGAAAGATTTTTGCGTTTGATTAAGAAATAGGAATACACCAGTATAATATTAAGATATTTTATGACGATTTATAAACAACTAGAACATATGATACACTTATATATATAACTTCTACTACCTATAAAAATACAACGCAACTCTATAAAAATACAACGCTAACTGTCACTGGTATCAAAATCTAAATAGAATATGGAAGAAAAAAGTACTTCGGAAAATGGACAATATTTAAATTCAAACATTTCATGTAAATGTTTTAAAAGGATTCCATTTTCGCAGATTAGTATGAATCATTCGTTCAGGCACTCTATTACACTTGGCTAGTGCTACATTATCAATACAAATGTATAGACATAGCTGAAAAATTGCATGAAGAATCACACAATTAATTTGGCACAGTGGTTTCTTCAAGTTTCTCTCTCTGCGCGAAAGTCATAAAAAAACTAAACAAAAGAAAATAAAGAATAAGAATATTAAATGCATTAATATATTATATACTTCAATCTTACCTCTTTATCCAAATTTTCTTGAGTCCAAATTTTAATTACAGGAAGTTTATTCTGTAAACGATTAATTGTAAAAAAAACATAATGAACATGAAAATACAAACTTTTGTAAAAATAACTTACGGTAGAAGAATCAGAATGAACACTAAGACGTGAATTAAGAATAAATGGAACTCCATCTAAATCAGAAGATCCTGGCAGTGTACCGTAAATTGATGTAGATCCAGTAACTATTGACGTAGGAGGTTGTGGAGCAGGTCTAGTTGGTCTAATTCTTGCACTAGGATTCAAAATTTCATAATCTCTATCATCAGATTCTTCAATATCCTTTCCTCCGCTTCCACTAATTTGTGGATAAACCCCATTTGTTGGTTTTGGTGGTCTTTCAGGAGGTATTCTATGGGATGTTCCATTTGATGAATTTGGAGAAACATTTTGAAGTAAGCTATAGATAAAATATAGTATATAATAATTATTATATAAGAATTGATATAAATATATTTTAATTTTAATTCTAAAATAAAATGATTCATACTCTATATTAACATATGATTGTGAATTTGAATTTTCATTTACAATATCCACAGTTTTTGTAGCAAACACAAACTCCATTGATAATACTAAAAAAAAAAAAAAATAGAAAATAGAATAATTAAATTTTTATAAAATTTTAACATATTATATATATATATATACCCAGCAGCAATAAATCCGTTTGGTGCCATTTTGGATGTATTATAAACTTTATGTATAAGTCTACTACATATGATAATATCAGTAACTGCTTTTGAGCATAATTCTTTATTTCTAATTTTATAGCACACCTGCTTCTTTCTCCATGCTTTCTGCACTAAAATTCATTACTGCAATGTATTAAATGAAAATACTTTTTTAATAAGTGATACATTAATCATTCTTACGTATGCTCACTTGAATCTACAGTGTAAGAAATTATGCTGTATCCTTCTGGAGGAGTATCTCGCTCATTAATAACTGCTATATCTTCAACAACGCACTGAGGTAAACCTTCAGTCTTGGAAAAACATATATATCTGCCTTTTTTTTTAATAAAAAGCCCACTTTCTCTCCATAGATCAGCATCAGTATCTTGATCATACGTTCTTGATACCTAATGGTAAAATAATAATCCACAATTTTAATTATGATTTTAATTATTTTCTGATATTAATTATTCAATAAATAAAATTTAAAAATAATTTTGGAATAATTATTTCAATTAAAAAGTTGAATCACAATAATGTAAATAATTATATGTAAAATAATCAATATTAAAAATTAATAAATATCAATATTAAAAATTAAAAAATATTTTTAAAAATATAATTAAAAAATATTTTTATAACGTTAAAAAATATAAATATAATATTATTTTATAAGATAACATACCACTGTAAAATTTGGTGGACACTTATCTATATCTTCAACAACACTTATGGCTGTGATGGGTCTATCATCAGGTAGCACTGATGATAACTGATGAACCAACATTTTGTTGCAATTATTCTTTTTAGACATTATTGCAAAGCTGTTAAAAATATATATGTATGTATATGTATAAATTATTTTTGTTTCCTTTTCTTAATACATATTAATTTACAGATATATAAAATATTAAAATATTATTACGTATAACATGTATAACATATTATGTATTAATTTATAAAAATTATAAATTAATAGCTATAATCTTCTAGTTTACAGATAATACACTTACAATAAAAAATTAATTTGATTGATTATGAAATAATTTTATGAAATATTTATGAATATCAAAAAAAAATATCATGAAAGAAGAAAAAAAAACAATTTATCGCATAATTAATATCATAAAATATAAAAAATATTTCAAACACATTCTTCTATATAATTCATTATATTTTGATTCATCAAAAATGCAAATAATGTAAGTAATCAAAATTAGGTCGATTAGATCATCAAGATAAAGTAAGGGAAATCCATATACTTATATTATTTGTATCTTTAATTAGTTATTTTTAATTAATTAGATAAAAAAATTTAAAGTATAGTAAAATATAATTTTAAATATAGAAAATTATTTTTAGTAAGTAAATTTCAATTAGATAATGGTTTAAAGATAATCTTTAAATAAATCATTTAAATAATCTTTAAATGAATAGTAAAAACGAATTCTTATATTATTTAATTTATATTACAATAAATATAGATATATTATATTTAATATAATTAATTTGTTAAATACTTATAGTAAATAATTATTATATTTAACAATTATCAATCATCTACACTATTTTTCTTACTTTAGTTACCTTTATAAATTTTGCACCATACAAATTTACAAATTCTGTATATTTGTTATGTTATTTATTATTATATTTTTAATTAACAAATCAATAATTCTCAATAGAACGAGATAACAATTTACGATCGAGTCACGATTGACTCGTATTTCCTTTGACACGCAATCGTATTCTTTGAAAGATTTATTCGTAATACAGTAGAACGACTAATGAATAAACAAGGGGGAGGGAAAGAACTAAGGATTGAAGAGAGAAACAGAACAACAAAAAGAGAGAAATAAACCTACTGAAAGGAAGATAAACGTGTGTGATGTGTGTGTGTATATATATATACATATAATATATATATATATATACAATCAATTGTTCCTTCACTGTTAAGTGCTTTAACATTCACATACTTTTAAATGATACTAACTACAAAACCGATAAGATAGCCACCGAAACTCACAAACATTAACACTCATAAGAAATGCTTTCCTCCTTTGTTTCTTCATTGAACGTTTTAACTAAATTGATATCATTTCGACTACCACTATACCATAATGACTGCCATCTTAACTGACTAGGGTAGTTGTGTTCAATAAGCTAACCTCTATTTCCGTTTCTTTTCTGCCGTGAAACGTTACGGCGTTTTTCTTCGTCCTTTCTATAAGACACTTATATCCTTTTTGTCAGATGTTTATTTAATCGTATATATTCAGTTTTAAAATGTAATCTAATTCGTCCTCCAAGCAATAAGAAAATGGATAAAAATCGTACACCACTCTCTTATCAGCATGCTTATTATTTAATTTATTTGTAAAAAAATTTGTACACACAATAAAATTTAAATATATAATACTGTAATACTTTCTTCACGATCATGACACTCACAGCAGCTTTGATACTGAAAGAAACATCATGGCGTCTTGTTTATCATTTGAATGTTTTTATAGATAATTTTATAAATTAATTTTATAATGATTATATATTTTTTAAATTGAAAAAATGTTTATAAATAACATAATATCATATATTTAAAACTTTTTTATATGTTAAAAACTTTTTAAATATTAATTCTTAATATAAAAAAATTCTAGATGGCGTTGTAACATATACCAATCATTTATAGTTAGTATAAGTATAATGTATAATACATGACATTGTTATTTGAATTCCAACATCAAGTTGCATTGGATTGACTTGGTCTTTTAAGAGGAATTTACATATTAAATAACGGTACAATAAATTTAGTTTGATCATATCATAATTTTATTAGCGATTCTTTATTATTTCAACTATTATATTATTAAAATAAAAATATTAATAGTTACGCTAATATTATTTTTTATATTTCGTAACAAATATTCAAAATTTTTTAATATCATATTATATCATTAATATGATATATCATTTGATAATATCATTTGAATTCATTTTGATCATAATAAATTATATTGTTGTATGCATTAAAATATTTTTAAAAAATATCGAATTAATAACAGCTTTAGTTTATTAACGACAGAATTTTAAACTAAATTTAAAATTTTTTTTTAATACAAATCAAAATTTGTATTAATTTATCTTTCTTCTATGGAAAAAGAAATTATGTAACATAATGTATATCTACAGTTTAATTAATTGTATTTAAATAATAAATAAAATCATAGATTGTTAAATCTTGGAAAAGAATAAACTAATTACTTTTATATAAATTGTAATATTTTCATTTTTAATAAATTTAATAATATATGGTATCTTTTTAATTACTCTTTTTAAAAAAATATTCAATAAACGATTTAATAGATTTAAATAAAATATTTGTTATATATTTCATTTAAAATAAAATTTTATTGATTGTATGAATAAAATTTTTGAAAAATAATAATGATTTTATAAATTTAAAATGTAATAAATTTCAAATGTATCATAATTTTTTTTTAAGTTGAAATAAAAAAAATATGTATCATAATTTTTTTTTAAGTTGAAATAAAAAAAATACCAATTTAATTTAATAAATAGTTTATAGATAAAAATAAATTCAGCCCATTTTCATAAAAATTCATAAAAATAAGCAATTGATATAGTAAGAATATAATTTTTTGTGTTGACTGGTTAAGAAAGCATACAATATAATACATAGTATCTTTAATTTTTAATATCCATATTAATAGAATATTTAAAAACTTTTCACCAATTTTACAATGACTAATAATCTTATTTCTGATTAATCAAATAATTACTTTATCTCCGCTAACTTCAATTTTAACTAATCGTACTATAAAGTTAATAATATAAATAATAAAAAAAATTTAATATTTGAAGCCGCCGGCATTGATTTTACGATGTCGCGTAGTGGACTCGTTTACCGGCGGGCGGTGGAAATATTTGAGAGCTGTGTCTCAACAATTTTATGTGATTTAATGTAATTTATTATAAATATATAATAACATATTTTTTTACATATCATTTGATGTAATATACATATTTGAATCTTATATTTCTAACTTAAAAAAAGATTTGCAGATTAAATTTCATAAATATATATATACTTTTTTATTATTTATATAAGTATAAAAATGAAACAAAATTATTCCCAACGTGAGAGATTAAGACAATCACACAACGAAGGAAATGATGTGCATTCGAAAAAACGATTCTAAAGAAGACGGGAGGAGTGGATGATATTAACAACGAGAACACGAAAAGAAAAAAAAAGATGATTTTAGAATATGAATTACGATGTGCTTGTGAGAAAAATACAACAATAGAAGATAGAAGTTACGAAGAAAATCTAAAATATTATCTGAAATGTATGAATAAATTAAATAATTTTTAGTTTAAATTAGTTAATTTTTAGTTATTTACATAAAATTGTTTTAAGTATAAATAAAAATAAAAATATTAATAAAAACAATATAAAAAATATCTTTGATTATTCGTAATACTTATTAATGCTATTATCTTTTTTATTGCAGTTTTAACTCATTAAAACATATCTGCAACTATAACCATGCAACTGAAAGTCTTTTTCCAATTTTTCAATTCTATTTTGAAAACATTATAAAAATATGTATTTAATTTTGAAAAAAGATTTCTTTTTGTTTTTAACAATTTTTCTTAACAAGATATTGCAAATCTCCAAGGAATAATATCATTAAAAATTCGAAATCATTTTTTTCTGTTTAATTTCCGAATAAAAATAAATTTAACCCATTTTCATAAAAATAAGCAATTGGTATAGCAAAAATGTAAACTATTAATCTTATTTTACATTCAATATAATTTAAGAGCAATCTTGTCTCATATGAATGTTTGAATAGATTTACATTATCATTATCTTCAAATGATCCTTAAACTTTCTTCATTACAAATCATAATTTATTATATAAAAAAAAGAAACATCATTTAGAAGTATCCCGCAAATTCTGTATTTTATTCATAATTTAATTTCCGAATTGGTTTCCCGAATTGGAATCCCTACTAACTTCAATTTAAACCAATCGCACTATGAAGTTAGCAATATAAATATAGCATTCTCAAAGTATTCTACCAACGGCTTCTCTAAGCATGTAGGTGATTTATATGTAAGTATGTGTATATTGTGAAAGTTTAGAGAATTCTTATAATTTTATTTTATAATATTTTAATATTTGTTCTCTTTATTATTATATATAATTATATTATATAATATATAATAATATTATAATAAGAAGATATTTTCTTATATATCATTTGATGTGATCTACATATTTGTATCTTATTATATTTCTAACCTAAAAAAAGATTTGCAGGTTAAATTTCATAAATATACATATACTTCTTCGGTGTTTATTATAAAAATGAAACGAAATACATCAAGTCATTCGCATCGCGATGAGAGATTTAGACAATCACGCAGTGAAGATAGCGAAACTGGTCTACGTTCAAGAACAGAAGAAGAACGAATACGACGTAGACGCGAATGGATGATACAACAAGAACGAGAACGAGAACACGAAAGATTGAAGAAAAAGATGATTTTAGAATATGAACGTGCTCGTGAGAAGAAACTAGCATTATCAAAAAGAAGTAAAACTAAAAGTAGATCCCCAGAAAGCCGAAATAGAAGTAATGCACCAAATACATCTAAAACATTTATATTATCCGAAAAGTATGTATGAATAATTTAAATAATTTTTAGTTTAGTTATTTACATAAAATTGTTTTAAATGTAAATAAAAATATAGTTTAAAAGAAAATATATTTGAATGAAAATTATATTATATTAGATATGCAATATAATTTGATTAATGTTTATTGATAAATAAGTACATATAACAATGTAGTGTAAAATTTCCAGTATAAGATATATTATTTTTATATACAATATTCGAGAAAATTTAATTTATAATTTTAACATGAAGTTTATTAGAGTCATATAATAATTCCTTTTTTTAATAAAAAATTATTTTGTACTACAGATTAGAATCTTCCGATGGTACATCTTTATTTAGAGGACCAGAAGGTACTCAAGTTAGTGCAACAGAACTACGAAAAATTAAGGTAGATATTCACAGAATTTTGCCAGGAAAAACAACAACAACAACTGATGAACTTAAACGAGATATTATCAATCCTGAAGATGTGATGCTCAAAAGAAGAACGGGTAAAATGTTATTTTTTGTTTCGATTATTAACAATTTAAAATTTTATTATCATTGATAAAGAAATAGCAAAGGTATGTATAAATTCAATACAAAAGGTTAATTATTCCATCAGAGGAAGATGAAACTTTTTCAACAAAACTCATAATATCAAAAATATATGTGAACTCAACATGGAAGATGACTTTAACAATTTTTGTAAAAATATAATTACTGAATTTATATTCCAATAAATTTTAAGCTTTGTAATATAAAATTAAGATTTTTACATTATCTTTTTTTAGTTATAGTTAAATATTAATTTTAAGTAATAAAAATTTTACTTCACTAAATACAACATTTGAAGAATTATAATATAAATTTCTACAAACAAGAAAATGGATTTATTCTCATGTATCTTTTAAGTATAAAGATATTTTATTTTATAAATTAATAACATATTCTTAATTCATCAAAGAAGAAAATTTGAAATACAACGCTGAATCAAAGTATTGAAAATGTAATATGTAATACATAAGCACAATATTTATCATTTATCTTAAATGTTCTAAGAATGCTTTTATTATTTTGCAACTTTTTTACAATTGCATTTGAGTTTGTACAAAAAATTATGCTTTCAGAATATTAATAACATAAAAATTATTTTACTGTTATTACTATTATATTGCTATTAAAAAATAATTTTTTTAAAATATGCTTTAAATTTTTGCTTTCTTTTGTATATTTTTTTTATGTTTGGAATATTTGATTGCTTTTTAAAAAAATAATTTTTTTTTAAAGTATGCTTTAAATTTTTGTTTTTTTTGTGCATTTTTTTTATGCTTTTGGAATGCTTACATAGTTAAATACTAAAGTACTAAAAATATAAAAAATTATACTAAATTTATTAATATATATTACAATATTTTCAAATCATTGAGTTTTTTTTTCTTATGAAATATATAACCTGTAGCAATAGATCATTTAAAAACTTTTAATCAAATTTACATTGTATTTTACCGATAATTTTATTCCTGATTGATTATATTATAATTTTTTTATTCTCTCTTTTTTAACTAGCTATGAAGTTATCAATTATACTAAAGTATCTTATCTTTGTTAAAATTCTTTTATTAGAGGCAATTATCATATATATGTATATATAAATATATATATATTGTAACAGCTGTAGAAAATTGATATAATTTCATTTTATAATTTATTTTCTTTTATTCATAATAATTTTTGTATATTGTTTTATATTATTATTGATGCATATTTTTTTATGTATCATTTGATGTAATATCATTGATG